TCGGGAAGATAAGCATATGGCTTTCCTGCTACGAGCCATAGGTAGCAGTCAGGCACGGTGGTCTCATCAAGCCATTGCATGGCTTTTAGAGTGCGCATGTCCAACCTGGTCGACCCTACAATAGCCTGCAAATCAGAAAAATCAATACCATTTAACTGAGCTAGGATGGTGATCATGCCCCCTATGGTAATCGCACCCCTCCCCTTAGCTACACCATCTAGGTGGTCTAGCAACCAAGCCCCCATATCAAGTCACCCATCCCCCCTAGTGAGGTGCCACAGGAATTGAAGCTCCCTAATGGACACCACCCCCGAACTATCCCCCCTAGCGAAGATAGTTGAAGAAAAGGTTCTATGGGCTAATCTAAAGGCGGGGTTGACAATAGAGGTTGCCTTATCTCTCCGAGGGTCTCTATCTAGCTTCCCTGTAATCCGACGCCAAAATAGACCGGGTTCATAGTGTTTGGAATGGCCATCCTTAGGACCGTATTTCAGGTCGGAGTGCCATCCAAAGGCGGTGTTTACTTGGGCTACGGTCATGGTGATGGTGCCGGAGTTCATAAGCTGGAAGGTCATGTACCGGGGGGAGTTATTCTCATCCTGGTGGACATACAAAGATGACAAAAACTCTAGGGTAAGCCTCTTGTAATTGAGTGCATGCATATGTAACCAGGCATCAAATTTAGTGTAAGTGAACATTTGAATCATGTCGTCTTCTATACCTAAAGCTTTAGCGGCTAAAGGGTCGTAGAATTTAGTAGGCCGAATCGGACGAAGGGACAATTTAACAAAATTTTCCATAAAGGATGGGTTTTCAAAACTAATTCCCATGGTATCCACCGGTGGTGGAGCCACGGATGAGGGCCCTTCGTCCCGACGCGGTCTTCTACTTGGGTTCTTGGTTCTAGGCATGTTTGGTTGAATGATATTAAACAAAATTACCAAATAAATTAAGCTTAATCAAGGAAATAATACCCAAACCTAGCAATGCAAGAATCAAGACAATCGAAAACAACAATTCAACAAGAGTCACTCTAAACTATGTAAAATCAAGCCCTAGTATTCAACATATAACTTCTATCAAGACAAACTAATTCACGCAAATCACCAATGTAAGCAAATTATGAACAATGAAGCAATTAGCAACAAACAATAGCAATTTTAGCAAGTAGAATTCAACAAAAACGTCAAGAATAGGAGAATTTAGGAACGAAGTTACCCAATTACTCCACGAATCGTTGGTGCGTGACTAAACGCTTGCTTCAATTTTCGTAATATGCGAGATCGTTGTTGAAGAACGAAGGGTTGAGGTCGAGCTTGTGCGAATCTGTGAAGGAGAATATGATTTAGGGTTTGATATAGAGAGAAACAGGGAGGAAAATTATGGGTGAAAGAGAGAGAGTGGCTGAAATAAAAGGAAAGAAGGGTAGGGATTAGTATATTAAACGCAGGCTGAGAAAAGAAAACCGTGATGCACGGACGTGCCATTTTTGGCACGGACGTGCAGCTGAGGCAGAAGGCTTTAGCCCTTTTAGTGGCACGGACGTGGCATTTTTGGCACGGACGTGCTTCCGGAATTGAAAATCCTCTTAGGTGTGTGGCACGGGCGTGCTATTTCTGGCACGGTCGTGCAGCTAAGGCAGAATGCTTTCGAAGATTGTTGTACGTTCGTGCCTTTTCTGGCACGCCCGTGCTGAATTTCCTGTTTAGCCTTTTGTCTTGTTAGCACGGTTGTGCCATTTCTGCTTCACTTTTAACCCCTTTTCTTCCTCTATATCTCGTTTCATTCTCATCCTTCCTTCCTCCATCTAATCTCTCATCTACACAAAAGCACACACAAACATAAAAAAAATAAATAACAAAAAGAAAATAAAAAAAAAAGTTAGAAACTATATCAAACAAGAAGAAAAACAAAAGAAACTAAACTAAGAAAAATCAAAAAGATCGGGTTGCCTCCCGGAAGCGCTAAGTTTAACGTCTATAGCTTGACGTGGTCACATTCAACTCGTGTGACGGCATTGTAACACATCAATCAAACCAACATGGGCTCCTTCGTAGTATAGCTTTAATCGCTGCCCATTTACTGTAAAAGATTGCAACCCACTTGAATCATAGAGTTCAACCACCCCGGAAGGAAAAATTGCCTTAATGGTGAATGGTCCCCTCCATCTTGACATCAACTTACCGGGGAAAAGTTTCATCCGGGAATTGTACAAAAGGACCTTGTCTCCTACATTGAATACCTTTCGCTCTATTTTCCGGTCATGCCACTCCTTGGATCGCGTTTTGTAGAGGCTTGCACTATCATACACATCCAATCTAAGTTCCTCCAACTCGTGAAGGTCCAACATTCTTTGCTCCCCCGCGCTTGCTAAATCGAAGTTTATTTTCTTGATTGCCCATTGAGCACGGTGTTCTAGTTCGACCGGAAGGTGACATGCTTTCCCGTAAACCAAACGATATGGGGTTGTGCCAATAGGGGTTTTGAAAGCTGTCCGATATGCCCAAAGTGCATCATCTAGCTTGTCGGACCAATTCTTCCTATTCTTTGCAACCGTCTTCTCAAGAATAGCTTTAATCTGTCGGTTAGAGACTTCCGCTTGCCCACTAGTTTGAGGGTGATAGGTTGTCCCGAATCGTTGATGGACTCCATTTTTGCGAAGCATTCTTTGAAAAGCCCCATGCACAAAGTGTGAACCGTTGTCACTTATTACCGCTCTAGGAACCCCAAACCTTGGAAATATGATCTTCTTGAAGAGCTTCACTACCACCTTGTGGTCATTTGTTGGGGAGGCGATTGCTTCCACCCACTTTGACACATAATCCACTGCCACAAGTATGTATTGGTTCCCACGGGATGAAGGGAAAGGTCCTATGAAGTCTATGCCCCAAACATCAAAGATTTCTAGTTCAAGTATGGGTTGTTGGGGCATTTCATTCTTCTTTGACACGTTTCCACTTCTTTGGCACGCATCACATGTCTTCACAAATGCCCACGAGTGTAAAACCTTTTGAGCTGTCTTGTTTGCCCCCATGTGACCTCCGCAAGGATCAGAATGACACATTTTCAGCACACTTTGAGTTTCATCATCAGGAACACACCTTCTTAGTAGACCGTCTACACCTCTTTTGAACAAAATCGGGTCATCCCAAATGTAGTGTCTAGCGTCTCGCCTAAGCTTCTTCCTTTGGTTCTTGGTGTAATCGGGAGGGAGCTCCCCACAAGCTAAGTAGTTCACCAAATCCGCGAACCAAGGTAGTCCTTTTTCCTTAATGAGATATAAGACATCATCTTTCAATTCATCAGAAATGGGTACCCCATCATCGTCTTGTTGCTCCCTTTCCATGCGTGAAAGGTGATCCGCGACCACATTTCCGGCCCCCTTCTTGTCTCGTATCTCTACATGAAATTGTTGCAAAGAAAGGACCCATCAGAGGAGACGCAATTTGGACTCCTTTTTCGAAATTAATTACTTGATAGCAGCATGGTCGGTGTAGACAATTGTTTTGGAACCAATGAGGTAATCCCAAAACTTCTCGAAAGCATGAACGATGGCTAGAAACTCTTTCTCCGTGGTGGTGTAGTTCTGTTGTGCTTTATTCAAGGTCTTTGACATATAGTAGATCACATGAAGCCTCTTTTCAACTCGCTGCCCAAGAACACCCCCAATAGCCGTGTCACTTGCATCATACATCAACTCGAACGGTAGGTCCCATCTTGGTCCTTGCACTATCAGAGCCGAGATCAAAGCTTTCTTAAGTGTGTTGAAAGCATGTAAGCACTCTTCATCAAACTTGAAATCGGCTTCCTTTTGCTATAGGGCATTTAAAGGCTTGGCTATTAGAGAGAAATCCTTTATAAACCGCCTGTAGAAACCCACATGCCCTAAAAACTGTCGTACCCCTTTTGCATTGACCGGTGGTGGTAGTTTTGCGATGACTTTGACCTTTGCCTTATCTACCTCTATCCCGACATTTGAAATCTTGTGACCGAGGACAATTCCTTCCTCTACCATGAAGTGACATTTCTCCCAGTTGAGGACCAAGTTCACTTTCTCACATCGTTGCAAGCACTTCCCCAAATTTACTAAGCAATCATCGAAAGATGTTCCTCCAACTGAAAAATCATCCATGAAAACCTCCATCTCGGCTTCCAACATGTCCCCAAAAATGCTCATCATACACCTTTGAAAGGTGCCCGGTGAATTGCATAGTCCGAAAGGCATTCTCCTGTAAGCAAATGTACCATATGGACAAGTAAAAGTGGTTTTCTCTTGGTCATCGGGGTTGATAGGTATTTGGAAAAACCCCGAATAACCGTCAAGAAAGAAATAATACTTGTGCCTAGTTAGTCTTTCGAGCATTTGATCAATAAATGGAAGGGGAAAATGGTCCTTTTTGGTTGATGCGTTTAGACGTCTATAGTCTATGCACATCCTCCATCCGGTTACCGTTCTAGTTGAGATGAGCTCACCATTTTCATTCTCAACTACAGTCATTCCCCCCTTCTTAGGGACAACATGCAAAGGGGAAACCCATCTGGAGCTCAAAATGGGGAAGATGATGCCTGCATCAAGGAGTTTGGTGATTTCTTTCTTCACCACCTCCCCCATTTGAGGATTGAGTTTCCTTTGCTTCTCTATGGAAGGCCTTGCATCATCCTCGAGAGCTATGTGATGCATACATATAGCAGGACTAATACCCTTGAGGTTATCAATGGTATAGCCTATAGCACTTTGATGCTTTCTCAATACATCACATAACTTCCGAGTTTGATCCGCATCTAAAGAAGAATTCACGATGACAGGGTAAGTTGAATTAGGACCAAGAAATTCGTACCTTAAATGTGTTGGTAGAGGCTTTAATTCTACCTTAGGGGCCTCATTTACCTCTTTTGCAGCGGCCATAGCAAGTGCATACTTGGTTATGATCTCCATGTACTTATGTTCACCATCATCTCCATCTAGAATTTTCTCCTCCATGTCCTTGTTTTCTTCGGTATCACCGATCATGGTTAGTAAAGAGTAATTGCGTATGCATACTAGAAACAATCGAATCAATGGTGTCAATCATCATGAAGTTTTCAGAACTAGAACAAGGATATTGCATGCTTTTATTCAAATCAAAATCTAAAACTTCCTCCCCTACCTTTAAAGAAATCTTAGCACTCTTCACATCAATGAGAGCACCTGAGGTAGATAGGAAAGGTCGTCCTAGAATAATAGGTATATGACTATCCTCATCCATTTCCAAAACCACAAAATCAACAGGTATTACAAATTTCCTAACCCACAGGGGAACATCTTCCACTTTACCCTTAGGAAATTTGATCGAATGATCAGCTAACTGCAGGGTATTGTTGGTGGGAAGAAGTTCTCCTACCTCTAAACGTTGATACACATAATATGGCATAAGACTAACACTAGCCCCAAGATCACATAATGCATTATCAATTTTCATCTTATTAATAGCACAAGGGATTGAGAAATTACCTGGATCTCCTACTTTAGGAGGCATTTTATTCATAATTATTGCACTACAATTTGCAGTGAGGTTAACAGTTTCTACCCCATCACAGTTCCTCCTACCACTTAAAATATCTTTTAAAAATCTAGCATAATTAGGCATTTGCTTTATAGCATTAGTGAATGGTATGGAAAGGTGGATTTGTTTCAAAGTCTCCAAAAAATTACCAAATTGAACATCTAGCTTGTGCCTCACGAACTTGTGGGGGTAGGGAAGTTTCTGCAATAAATCAGGTTCTTTGGCTTGTGTTGCCTCCTGTTCTTTTGGGACCTCATTAATTTTATTATTCTCTCCGGTCCTCTCATCCTCACTTTCAACAACATTGTCAGTGATAGGTGGAGTCGCAGGTTGACTCTTATGTGGTATTACTTTATCGCTTCCTATCAATGTTTTTCCACTCCTAGTGGTGATAGCATTCACAGAATTTTTAGGGTCAATACCTTGAGGCGGGAGTTTGGAAACTCCAACCCCATCTTTTATAGCACTAGCCAACTGGGAAATCTGGGTTTCAAGCATTTTGTTATGTGTCATCACTTCACTAAACTTTTTATCACCGGTGGCCATGAATGTGTTGAACATTTTAGATTGTGCTTCCATCATCTCCTCCAAACTAGATCTTTGCGGTGGTCCTTGGGCATAGTGATTGTCATTAGGGGCTCGGGAACCACACGCATTAGATTGTTGGGGATTTTTATTTTGGAAGTTCCTATTAGCATTGTTATTCCAGTTACCCCTGTTATTGGCATTCATGTTTTGATTATATTTCCCTTGATTAGCCTAATTTCCTGCATTTTGTTAGTATTGATTTTGATTACCATAATTACCATGTTGATTACAGGATCCTTGGGGATTTTGGTCCCTTTGGTTCCTGTTTCCCCACTAGTTTTGCTGTTGGTAATCAAAATTATTACCTTGTTGATTATAATTGTTCCCTCTTTAATTTGGTGGTAAGTATCTGTTGTTGTCATTCCTTGGTCTATTATCATAAGACAAGGCGTTGACTTGTTCGTTTTCAAATTCATTACCATCATTGCAATTAGATTGAAACTGGGAATCCAAGTTACAGGCAGAAGTATCATGGTCATAAGACCCACAATTTTCACATAATATACATCCAGCAGGCATATTATAGGAGTTAGAAGTCGTACCTCTCTCCTTAGGATGGGAAGGAAGATTTTGATGCGGTGCGGCGTCGAGCTTATCTTTAATAATTGACATCTCCTTTCCTAGATTTGTAATTTGTGATGTTAGATTTCCGATTGCATTAAGGCGGTCTACCGAATAGACCGCTCCTCCACTCTTGCTCGTAGCTTCCCGCTCTCCATCTTGCCAATCCATGTGGTGTCGTACCACATCTTCTATGATATCTATGACTTGCTCTTCGATTTTGTTCATGATTGGGCCACTTGCTCCCGCATCCAAACTGGTTTTCCCTTGAGGACTCAATCCTCCATATAATATCTATAGCACCTGGTATGTTGGAATTCCGTGGTGCGGGCACTCTCTTTGGTACTCCTTGTACCTTTCCCATGTTTCATAGATTGACTCCCCACTCCTTTGCCGAAATCCTTGGATCAAAGCTCTAGCATCGACCGTCTTCTTTTGAGAATAGAATCTTCCCAAAAATGTTGTCGTGACATCATCCCAAGTATGTAGAGTGTTTGGTTTAACCCATGCAACCACCTCATCAAAAATCTAACCTTGAGCTAATGATGCAGAACTTTATCACCACAAAAAACAATTCCATCCAATAGTTACAAGCTCAGAGCAAGCTCATGGAAAATCTGATAAGTCAACTTGCTCATCAAGTTGGCCAAACTTCAAAGCAACCACCGGGTACCTTTTCGGGTCAGACAGAGCAACCACAAAAGGGGCATATGAATGCCGTGACTTTGAGAAGTGGAAAGCAATTGGAAAATCCTCCCGTACGGGAGCCATTGAAGGAGGTTGTTGAAGAGGTAGGCGCAAATGAAAAGGTGGTTGAAAGTACTATGATTGAGGAAGAGCCAAAGGAAACGACTCCACCACCTCTTGATCTATATGTGCCAAAGGTTCCTTTTCCGCAGAGGTTAGCCCAAGCTAAGTTAGAGAAAAAGTATGGAAAATTTCTCGATATTCTGAAAAAGCTCCACATCAACATTCTATTCCTAGATGCAATATCTGAGATGCCATCTTACGCAAAATTTTTAAAGGATATGCTCTCTAACTTAGTGAAAGTGTGAGTCTTATGCCGCTCTCTATCTGCAAGAAACTTCAAATAGGTGAACTAAAGCCTACACGTATATCTTTACAACTTGCGGGTCGGTCAGTCAAGTTTCTTTTGGGTGTACTTGAAGATGTTCCTCTACGCGTTGGAAAATTCTTTATTCCATGTGATTTTATTGTGATGGAAATGGAGGAGGATGCACATGTCCCTATCATTCTAGGTAGACCATTCTTAGCTACTGCGGGAGCAATCATTGATATGAAGAATGGTAAAATCACTTTTGAAGTAGGAGATGAGAAAATGGAGTATTCACTCTTGAATGCTATGGGAACTCCTTCCATGGGAGAGACTATTTGTTAAGTGGATGTCCTTGATGATTTACAACGTGAGCAACTTCCCTTGATTAAAACGGAAGATGCACTTGAAACGGTGTTAATGGGGAGTGTCAATGATGAATATTGGGAAACAAGGGAGTACACAAGGCTACTTAAGGAAGCAAAAGCCAATCTAATCACCGCTCCAATCAAGGAAGTCCTTAGTGCATCGAGTGTTGGGGAGAGTACTACGCCTCCCGAGGTAGAGTTGAAACCCCTTCCCTCTACTCTTTAATATGCATATCTTGGTCCTAATAATACATATCCTATTATTGTTAATGCTGAACTTAATGACACAGAATTAGAGCAACTGCTCATTGTTTTGAGAAAATATAAAAAAATTTATTGGGTACACCATTGATGATATTAAGGGCATTAATCCCTCTTTTTGTATGCATAAAATCATTCTTGAGGACGATCATGCCTCCTCTAGAACCTCAAAGAAGGCTTAATCCAAACATGATGGAGGTAGTTAAAAAAGAGGTTCTTAAATTGCTTGCTGCAGGAATAATTTACCCTATCTCAGATAGTAAGTGGGTTAGCCCTGTACAAGTAGTACTTAAAAAAGGAGGTATGACCGTTGTCAAGAATGACAAGGGTAATCCAGTCGCCACTAGGAATGTCACAGGGTGGTGAATGTGTATTGACTATAGAAAGTTGAATAAGGCCACCCGGAAGGACCATTTCCCCCTCCCCTTTATTGATCAAATGCTTGAACGTTTGGCTAAGCATTCCTTTTTCTGTTATTTGGATGGATATTTTAGTTTCTTTCAAATTCTTATTCGTCGTTTTTATCAGGAAAAGACCACATTCACATGTCCTTATGGCACTTTTGCATACCGTAGGATGCCATTTGGTTTATGTGATGCTCCAACCACGTTTCAACGTTGTATGATGGCAATTTTTTCAAGTCTCATAGAGAATTCTATGGAAGTATTTATGGATGATATTTCTGTTTATGGAACATCTTTCGATGTATGTCTTGAAAATTTGAAAAAGGTTCTTCATAGATGTCAAGAAGTCAATCTAATTTTAAACTGGAAAAATTGTCATTTTATGGTACAATAGGGAATCGTTTTAGGTCATGTCGTGTCAAATAAGGGTATTGAGGTCGATAAGGCCAAAATAGAAGTCATTGAGCGACTACCCCCTCCGAAATCTGTAAAAGGAGTTCGAAGTTTCCTTGGTCATGTAGGTTTTTACCGTCGCTTCATTAAGGATTTTTCAAAAATTCCTCGACCTCTAACTGAGCTTCTAGCTAAGGATGCTCCATTTATTTTTACTGATGCTTGTCTTGAAGCTTTTAACAGGTTAAAGGAAGCTTGGATCTCTGCTCCTGCTATGCAACCCCCGGATTGGACCCTACCTTTTGAAATTATGTGCGATGCTAGTGACTATGCGGTAGGAGATGTTTTGGGGCAACGAAAGGAAAAAAAACTTCATGCTATTTATTACTCTAGTAAAACTCTTACCCTTGCTCAAATGAATTATGCCACAACCGAAAAAGAGATGCTAGCAATAATTTATGCAATAGACAAGTTTCATTCTTACCTAGTTGGTTCGAAAGTAATAATTCATACAAATCATCATGCGGCATTGAGATATTTAATGAGTAAAAGTCATGCCAAGCCGCGGTTGATTCGTTGGATCCTTCAGTTGCAAGATTATGACATCGTGATAAAAGACACGAAGGGGACTGAGAATGTCGTCGCAGACCATCTCTCTCGCCTCCTCCTCGATAATGGGGACGGAGATGATCTCCCTTTTGATGATTCTTTCCCTACTGAACATTTATTAGCTCTTTTGAAAATTGAGTCACCTTGGTATGCTGATTTAGCTAATTTTTTGTCCAGAGGTACAATGCCTCATGGCTACTCGTCTCAACAACGGAAGAAATTCCTCTATGAGGCAAGGAAACTTTTGGGAGGATCCTTTCTTTTATAAGATATGTGTGGATGCAGTGATTAGACGATGCATCCCAAAGAATGTGGACCCAATGTCATCTCTCATTGCCATGACTTACCGTGTGGTGGACATGCAGGTCCTTCGAAGACAACCGCGTAGAATTTGCAGTGCAGTTTTTATTGGCCAACCTTGTTCAAAGATGTATACTCCTATGTCAAGTCTGTGATCGTTGTCAATGGACGGGCGATATTTCTAGGAAGAATGAGATCCCACTCAACAACATACTCGAGGTCGAGTTTTTTGACGTGTGGGGGATAGACTTCATGGGTCTGTTTCCTTCTTCTCATGGAAACCAATATATCCTAGTAGTTGTTGAATATGTGTCAAAGTAGGTTGAAGCTATTTCTACTCCAACCAATGATGCTCATGTGGCAAGTAAATTTTTCAAGAAAATTATTTTTCCCCGATTTCGTATCCCACGTGTGTTGATTAGTGACAGGGGAACA